AGTTCGAACAACAGGCAGAATTCGAAAAGAGTAGGGTGTGGTACAATAGACACGACAACAGCACGAGTACGATATCCGTCCAGACGCCACCAATCAAATCCCATCAAAACCGGCGATAAAAAAGCTGCGGCTCCTAATCCCACACAAGGCTTGGCCTCAAATCCCTCCAACCCCATCCGTTCTGGCTGAGCCAATCGCAGCCACTCTGGTGGAAGACGCGGCGGGCCAGGAAAGCTGTTGCAAGTGACGCTCAGAGTGCTGGCCTTGGCATCTTGTTCAGCTCTCGGTGTATGTATGTCGTTGTATGTTGTTGTTGGTCCTGATCAAGGACGGTAACTGCGGTAGCGTACAAGTATGAACATGAAAGAATGAGGGAGGGTCATCCACTGCTCTCAAAGGCCGGTGAGTGATCGCCCGTCCCAAGTCAGCCGCAAAATACATAGCGTCGGACCCAACATCAAATAATAACCTTGCGGCTTGGGCAATCAACCCATCTTTCCCGAGATAGGGATTGACAACTGACGCCGAGCTTTGCGGTGCCAAGGTGAGGCACATCAACAGAAGCTAGCAGTCAACAAGGCCATGTGGTTTGCTGCTTCGTAAAAAAAGAAGGGAAAGGATCTCGAGGTTTCCTGGTTTGCCTCGTCATGCGGAAGCCTTGAACTTGGCTTCAAAAGGCAGCCTAACATGGTGTCCTATCCGACATGGGGAACGAATGAGTCCTATCAAAGCCGGGCCAAGGCGACCTAGCAGCCTTGTTTTCACCGGCTTGACAGATGGTCAAGGCCACGGAGTACGAAGCTGATTCAAACGCCCAAATCCTGCGAAAGGCTGTTTCTCGACAGGGGACCATCTCAGGTCTGCTTCAGTCCTGGCTGCGGCTGGCTATAGCTCCCTCCCCCCATGTTGAAAGGTCTCTAGACTGCCAGACCCTTGCCAAATCTCCATCTCACCACCTCTGTCCCTCCCGCTCTTCGCCGTCTTAGCACTACCGACTTGTACGGATAAGTATCAAGCCTCGTTTTGCCACGCCCTCCCCCATGCCAGCACCAGATAATAACGGCTTGAAATCAGTAGCTCGTCTGCCATTTCAGGCCTGCCCTCCCCCCCTGCCCAGCTTTAGCCACCTGGCACCTTGGCAAGCAAAACCAGGAGCCCTGCGAAAATCGAGAGACAAGGCACGGAGCTTCAACCCATATGCGGTCTTGACTGCGAAAGTGAGGCCCGCGGCTTGTAAGCCCTTTGCCATCTCTGCCTGGCCCTGGAGACGTCGTTCTTCTTGCGCGAAGCCTCGATTGGCCACGGTACGACCTTTGAGGAACTGAAAGACGTGGGATAAATGAAGGCGATTGCCCCCCTTGCGTTTTCGTTGTCCGGAGATCTATTCTCCGGGGGAGCCCTGCGAGGCAAATTCGCGGCGTTGTTGAGGCACCTGGGGGCGGGCTCGCTGGCAATATATATTCATGACGCATCTCTGCCACAACTTGAAGATTCGCAATACGATGCTAGGACTGCTGATGCCACCCATGACCAGCATTCATTGCGCAAAAACGGAAAGAAAACAACATGGTCGGTTCAATACGGCTTCCCAAACAGGAAGTCAGGTTGAAAGAAAAAAAGGCAGAAGAGGTATGGAAAGCCACAAATTATGTCTGCCAGCCAATGACGGCACTTGTCGATGCAAGCAGCCTCGCTCGCCCAAGTAATGATGGAGAGGCAATTTCATGCAGCTCATGAATCTATTGGAATTTACAACCCTGATCAGACTGGGCTTGGAGGGGGGCAAGTATCCATCTGCCACGGCCTAACATGGACATACGATAGAATGAACTGCTACTACCCTCCTTCAAGAACAACGGTTCGTTATATGCACGATATTATAGCAGACGTGTAAAATCAACACGATTGGGCGGCTGCTCCCGTCGTCCAATACGCATGTACATGTAGCAAAAGGCATGTTCATATATCGGAAACGGCAACCACGAGCCCGTCCCCTCAAAACACCATGGAAGACGGAGAAGCGAAAAAATATCAGACAATATCTCCCTACAAACTCGGTTCAGCCAGTGGACCTAGCCAGAGTCAAGTTCTCCATTAGCCAGGCGGGAGGCACGGCACGAAGCCCGCAGAGCCTAGGACTACTACTACTATCCCAGAATACATCCATACGGCCCTCAGCCTCGCTGCCCTTTTTTCTCCCCAATACGGGGAATTCCGTCTCTTGAACTACTTAGGGATGAGCTCTGACGCAGTGGCTGAGTTTAGCACTCGCCGTACATAGTCTGGCCCGCCCTGGGCAACAAATCGTCTCGAACGTGCTGAAGCGCGGCAGAAAGTCCATGACGCCGCTTGTTAGACATGTTCTCCCTTCTTTCATGTCTCCCTCTGCAAACTACTACTAGCAGTATTCAATAGTGAGCTCAGGGCTTCTGTTTCTCGGTCGGGCATTGGAAACCCGAGTAATCGGCGTCTCCTGGTCTCGGCGCTGTCTCAAGCCATGCCCATTTTGTTTGCTGTTCGGAAGGAAAAAAGATGGACGCCGAAAGACGCCCCAAGCCCGTGTAAAACATCACAAACTTTTTTCTTTTCTTTTTTTTTTTTTTTTTTTTTTTTTTTTTTTTTTTTTTTCCCCGTCTTTGAAACCCCGGCGATCCAGGAAACCGGTGAGCAGAGAGAAAAACACGGGGTGCAGAAAGCCCAGAGCCCACACAAGTCCTTTGCGGAGCAAGCAGACAAGAACGTGTATTTACTGTTCTTGGGGTGGCTGCAGCGAAACTATTGGAGCTTTCCAACAGGGGGGGGAGGGCGCCGACACGACGATAGAAGGCGGCGAAGAAGAAACAACAATGGACGAACAAAGTCCACATTTCCAAGAGAAGACAGACCTCCCCCATCCTCCTCAATATACATGTACGAGTAGTAGTAGGGAAATGGAGACGGATGTGCACGACAATAGCGAAGACGCCGGTGACAATGCACACGAAGCACACACGCCCTGCCTCGTGCAGATAGATAGGACGAGTGAACAGCCAATGGCTCTTGATTCTCGACCGGAGCACGTCCAGAAGCAAGAGAAGAGCTGGGCGCGAGAGGAATGCGGGGAAGTATTGTGATCTATCACAAATCCATCCATCCATCCATCCATCCCAGCATGCGGTTCGAACCCCTTCTCCAAAAGAATCCTAGACTATCAAGGACAAGAGAGGGGAAGGAAGAGAAAGAAAAGAGAGGCTGCCATGGGAAGGGGGGGAAACAGCTGAACAAACGGACCAACAGAAGAGCCAAGGGGGGTTTGAGCTTACAAGAGGCCGAGTCCCGTCTAGACCTGGGGTCCAGGCCGAAAGGAGCCCATGACGGCGACCATTCTAACACACAGCTCCAGCCCGTTCTGTCTCTGGGATGATGCAACAAGGGAGAAGTTGAGGGCCAGCCTCCGGGCTTTCAGGTCTTGGGTATACTACTACCTACGGGAGACACGCGGCCAAGCCTCGTCTGTCTGGTCCTCCCTGTCGAGGCCTCTGCTCCTTGCGTCTCGACTGCCGGAGTACGAGTATGCTGGGGATAAACGGCGAGGTACGGGTATGGATATGGGTATGGGTATGGGTATGGGGTATCGTGCAGAGCAAAGCCTGGAGCACACAAGAAGTTGCTTTTTCTGAATCTGCACCCTTGTGCGCCGTTTCGATGCTATTAGTACTACTAGCACCAAAAAGACGTTGCAGCTATCACATATCACCAACTTCTTGTTTATCAATTCTCCTCGGACGGACAGACACTCTCGTGCCACACCCCCAAAGGAAAAAAAGAAGGAAAGGAAAAAGGAAAGATAAGGCAGTTCCTGGCCCTCCCGCTTACGCCGTCGCAAACTCCTCCAGCCACGATTCTACCTTGACAGGCCTCCCGCACGTGGCTTTTTCCTCCTCTCGCTCCTCTTTCTTTCTCTAAACGGCAGATACTACTGCTACTATTTGGAGCGCGGCTGCAGCTCATGCAGGGCGAGTCAGACACAATGGGGAGGGAAAAAAAAAAAACAGGAAGCCTGGATAGCTTCGGGCTTCCGATGGTTCATGCAAGGGAGGACTTGGCTTTTCCTCCGTGTCTGGCCGCGACGTGTGTGTGACGAAGCGGTTTCCAGTCACTCGGTGCGATTATCAGACCACGATGGCTTCTCTTCTCCCTTCGCCTGTCCCCAAACCCCCACCCCCTCCTCTCTGGCGCTTGAACCCTTCCTTTCATTTTTCTTTTCCTTTTCCTTTTGCCCCACGGATCAGGAACGCGAGAAAGTCACGAGCACGGCTCTCGTGAACGTTGGCCGCCCAGCTGCTCTTGAAGATGCATGTACCTAGGATAGGAAGACTTGCTCGTTCCTCTCTCCACCACGAAAGGAAAGGTGAAAATGCCCGCAGTCGAAGAGTGAAGGGAGGGAGGGGTGACGGCAATGAAGCGCCCGCGCAAGAAGAAGCATCAGAAGAAGAAGACGAAGAAGAAGAGATCAGGCAAACCACATGGCAATCTCGCCTTGCATAGAACCACCCAGCCAATGAGACCCGCTGGACGAGAGTTAATTCATGCAAGGCACGCGCAGGCCAAGGCCAGACCTTTGGCCAACGAGAGGCGAGACAGGACGAGAACCCTCAACCGTTGGAAGGCCTGGACCAACGAGGTCTTGTGGACGCCCTCCCCCCCAAATCATCTGAGGTACTACAACTACTACTAGTACTCCATATTCGATGCTCATTCGTACTCGCGCTTCTTGCTGTTGCATGTATGTACACCTGATTGTGGTGAACGGACACGATGATACACTGTTATCCCACACAGACTGATAAGCCCAGAATCCACAGCATTTGCCGCCCCAGCTGTCTTGTTGCACGCATGAACAAGCCGGTACTTGATACCCCCGTTCATGTATGAAAGGGAAAGTAGCGCATATATCACATCTGATATGAAGATTGAGGCAAGACTTGTTTCGGGGCAATTGTCCATTCCAGTCACTTCTCTTAGCGGACGCCATCCAGCGCTGATCACCCGTACCGTAACGGAGAGGATGCCCTCACCTTTCGTAGGTGCTACTAGGTAAGGTACTAATAAGCTAACTTGACATGTAATAAACCCAAAGGAAATGATGGATTGTATTTTGCATACATAGTCTCTCCGATGGCCTTGTCCTCACGCCCATCCCGCAGCCGAGAATAGCATCAAAATCTCAGACCATCTCAGAAATTTTTGGATCAGAAACCCCGTAAGCACCAACGATCCGCTTGCGCGCGCGCTCGCACCCGAGATTGGAGATTCCAGGGCTTGACAGTATCGTACATACGAATATTCCGGGGGGGAAGTGCACAAGAAAGGGCGAAACGCCGTGCTAGAGCCGATGCGGCATCGCTGCCGTTTGCCCATGAACGGCACTACTAGAAACCGTCTCTCTCCCGAATGGAAACGTGCTCCGTTTTGATCTTGTTCAGGGCAAGATTGGCATAATGCTAGGTATGTACCTTACTTGGAAATAAAGACACAAGGTGATCATGGACATGGATGGCTTTCACTGCCGAAAGGTGCACCATGGCATGGCATGGCATCTCCAAAATGGTCCAACACGCACCCCCCCAACCCTCTCTCTCTCTCCACTTGCTTCCATCTCCCTTCCCCTGCAAATCCTCGTGCCTACTACTACCTAATCAATGTCGTCACCCATAAGACATTCGGCCTCCGTGTCCCGTCGAGTGACTCTTCTTTTTTTTCTCTTTTACTCGGTGCAAATAGCTCAGTAGCTCGACTAAGCGCATGCTGATATGGCCAGGTGATCGCCAACCTCCCCGATTCAAGCACCATTGTTCTGATACCAAGCAAGAAAAAAAAGAGAAGAGAGACTCTCTTCGTCAGGTGGATATCAACCAGAACAAATATCATCATCATCGCAAGAAAAAACGTGCGACACCAAAAGCGGTATCGCACGATTTCCTGTCAAAACTGCATCATTTCAGCCCCATTATCGTATCGCCAACCTAGTACGCGCTGGATACTAATACCCCGTACTTCTTTTTTCGTACCTTACCTTGATGGATTCTGCTTCAAACTGACTCAAAAGGGGGGTTGCGTGTTAGTTGCAGTGGGTGTGGCCCATCGTCCTGCCCTCAAAGATGAGCCGAACAGAGTTTCTGGTCCCCCAAAGCGCAGAGCAGCGTTCAAAACGGAACCGCGTGTGGATCCCCCTTTTTTTCTGTCAAAACTCCTTGTTGTGGATCTGGGGGGAAGGGTCGTTTGGCTATTGCTTGCGAGATAGAGCGGAGAGGTTCAGAGGTCAGGCAAAGTAGCTGCGAGTTCCGTGCGTTGATGGTCCTAGTTTTACTCTAGATACGGGTCTCGAGGGCTCTGGGGACCAGTTGTGGAAGTAGGTGGCAAAGCTTCGAAGGACTTCCCGTGCCCGGCGTATAATGGAAATGTTTGAGCGTCGTTTACAGTCTCGAAGATGAGTCAAGGTCAAGGCAGATCTTGCAGTTCAGGCTTATTTTTTAATGTTCTGTAAAAGTTGTCGTAGAGGTAGCGTGCGGGAAGAGGTCACTGTCTAGGTGTGTCTCCCCTGATCTTGACTGTTCTCGTTGAGGGCAG